AATCCATGGCCCTCTGACAAGCCGACCGATCCGCGCGCGTGCATCCGTTCCAAAGCTAGGTCGCCCTGCAACTGCAAGCACGCACTGACGCATGTACCACTGCAAAAACTGACAGATTGAGCGGCAAATCCTAGCGCTACTCGACAAACTAGGCCCTTATTCTAAGCCTTTTCGTTAGTTGGTATCACTCGTGATATAACGTTTTTCTCTCACAATAAATCAGCACCACTTAGGTTTATTAGCCCAGAAACCCACCAGCGAACAGAATGTCAGTTTCTCCGTCAAAACTTTACACCCTGTCGCAATGAATGTTTGTACACATGCATAAAGTATTAAATATAGACTAAAAATAATTAGTTGCATAGATTGCAACTACTTTGCGAGACGAATCTTTTAAACCTAATTAGTCCATGATTTGACAATAAAGTGCTACAGTAACACGTGTTCTAATGACGGGTTAATTATGCTTACTAAATTCGTCTCGCGGTTTACTGATGGATTCTATAATTTATTTTTAATTAATATCCAAACATCTATATAACATCCGATGTGACACTCTATAACTTTACGCCTGAATCTGAACACCACCTGAGCAAGAACCCTGTAGTTGATGAGCACCAGGCCACCAGCCGTCGAGTCAAGCGCCCCCGATTCCGACCTGTCGCTCGCGGTCGGGGCATGAGCTCGACTGCATCTCATTCCCGTCGTCACCATCTACGACACGGTCACCGCGAGTTCGTCAGAGTAGGAGGCCGTGCCGTCCCGCGACACCACGTGGCGGACGCGCGCGCCAGCACTCCCCGAGCCGCGGCACCGCAGGGGAACAAGTGTACGGCGAGCCCCGGAGCCGCTGAACAGACATGCCGAGCTCGGACAAGACGGGTCTCCGACGCGTTCGACGGCAGGAACGCCTCAACCAAATCGCCGTGTCCATCGCCGGCTCCGGCAGATTCAGTTTTCGCGCATAAGATCGAACCACAAGCTGATCCTGCAGCTTGTACAAGCCGTAACAAGGTCGGCCGGTAGAAGGGAGGGACACAGAAATACAAGCCTCGCATGTCCCACTTGAACAAGCAGCTCGCTGTTGCTCCAAAGATCATACAGAGCAACAGGATCGTGATTCTTGAGGTCGGCCGGGCACCATTTTCCTGAAGGCTGAACCGAGAAAGTTACAAGTTTAACCAAGGTGCGGCGGGAAGCTGAAGGTAACACTGCATCAGCGCCATCATCACGAGGAGTTTGATTATGTTTCTTCCAGCATTTTGGGTCTGTTTGGTTCCTTCCTGCGAGACAGCTGCCCAGGCAGCGACGCCAGACATCCAATTTCAGTCATTTCGGTGGAATTGGATAGATTTGCGTGGGCGTTGGCCTCAGGTCAAAGTGTCAACCAAGCACGAACTTTGTTTGGTAGATCACTTTGGGGGGTGGCCAACCCTAGCTAGACTCTAAGGCTATCTCCAACAAAGCAACCCAAACCCAAAATGCAGCGTGCACAATGTATTTAGGTAACCAAAAACCTCTCCATCAGAAGACCCAAAGAGGCTACGCATTTTGCGCCCCTGCTGCACCGAAACGCAAAAAAGCGTCCTCGTTGAACGACGACGCAAACCTCTGGCGTGCCTGTAGTGGTGGGCCCCGCAGCGTGGAGCGGCCGGCGGCGAGGCGAGCGGCGTGGAGCGGCCGACCCCTCCTCCTCCCTGGTCGACGCGCGGTGGCCTCCCCCTCCACCTCCACGATCGACAAAGGCGCCTCGCGGCACATGCGGGCATTTCGGCGAGGCGAGGAGCGGGGTGGGGCGTGGGTGCGGCCGGCGTGGAGAGGAATGGGCCCAATGGGGGAGGAGCCGCCGGAGCCGTGCTTTCGCCGGGAGATGCTGCCGGCGCTGTGTGGATCTGGTCTGCCTGCCCTGCAGCCGCATGAGCGTCTGAGGCACCGCCGCCGCTCCTAGTGCCCTGGTCACAGGCGTGCGGCCGTCGCCGCCGCTCCGAAGCCCACGCCGCCGACGGAGAAGAGGAAGAATGGGTCGCCTATGGTTGTTGGAGAAGGGAGAAAATAGGTCAAGCCCTTTTTTACTGTTGGCGTCCCAAACTACTAAATGGCTGTTGGGTTTGAATGCTCACCGTCAGAGACAGTCTAAGAAGCAAACTTTGAGCTGTTTAGTTACCCATAACAGGTCGAAGCCACACCTAAGTAAGGGGGCGTTTAGATCCAAAAAATTTTGGATTTTGGCTTACTGTAGCATTTCGTTTGTATTTGGTAATTAGTGTCTAATTATGGACTAATTAGATTCAAAAGTTTCATCTCGCGATTTCTCACCCAATTGTGCAATTAGTTTTTTTTTCGTCTACATTTAGTACTCCATATGTACCGCAAGATTCGATGTGACGAGTACTGCGCAAAATTTTTTGGAATCTAAACACCCCATAAGCCATTTTGGAGGTCCTAGCTCCAGAAAAACGATCGGTGGCCAGGCTAGGCTAAGCCCCGTCAGAAGTCTGGTAACCGCACGGACCCGTCGCTCTCTCCTCCGCTCGGCTCCGTACTTGCCGCTGCTTGCCCCGCGCTCCTCATCCCGGCGGCCCCGCATGCCCCCGACGCTGCTCGTCCCGGTGGCTCCGCATGCCCCGCAGTGCTCGTCGCCGGAGGTTCCGTGCTCGTCCTCCCCCCGCTGGAGGTCCCCTGCTCCAACTTGCCGCCGGAGGTCCATCAACCGGTCACGGCTTTGGTGCGTGCGCCGTGCATGATTCGATGGCTGAAGGACGTTGCGCATACAGAGAGGAGGTGAAGATTAGCATGTGTGGGCGTTTCTGCTTGAGGCTGTGTGAACTGCGTGATCTGTGCCGTGCTAATCTGTGCCGGAAAACTGCATCTGGACGCTGCGTGATCTGCTTGAAGGGGTGCAAATCTGTGCCGGAGAACTGCGTGAGGCTGCAGGGACGGCAGTGGAAGAGGAAGGCGAGGCCGCGCGAGAACGACGACATAGCTCGAGCCGTCCGCGCTTGCGACGGCCGGGGGCGTAGCACTGGCCACACGCCGTCCACGCCGAAGTCACCGTCCGCGCCGGGTCGCCGTTCGAGGTTGCCGTCCACGCTGGGGTTGCGCTGCGCCAACACACGGCCACTGGGCTGCGCCACCACCGCCGGCGTGCAGTGCTGTTCGATCTACCAGAGCTGCAGAGGGCCATGCACCCCACATGTTCGATGGAATGTTTCAAAAAAGAGGTAAACCAGCTCAAAGAAGAGGCGAAGCAAAACCAGGTAACCAAACAAGATTAAACTTAGCCAGACTTAAACAATCACTCCAACCAAACGAGTGACTATTGGCTCATGCCGACCTGGTTAAGTCTAGCCTGGTTTAAAAAGCTAGCCAGGCTTGGAATTGAACGAGAACCAAACACACCCATTGTCTTCTTACTTTTCCTCGATCACTTCCGCTTCCTACCTTAACATGAAACAGGAATCTCGTAGATTTTGATGCCCAAGAACATTTCAGCATCAGGACGTGGCAGCAAGCCAAATATTGAACACGTCAACTTATGTCAACACAAAGAAGAGCTAATGGGAGTGGTCCAACACGTTGGGTGTTTGGTCTAGTGGTATGATTCTCGCTTCGGGTGCGAGAGGTCGTGAGTTCAATTCTCGCAACACCCCAATTTTTCTTTTTTCGCCAACAAATCCGATGTTTTGATTTTAAAAAAGATTTGCTTTCTCGCCAACAAATCCGATGTTATCATCTTTAAAAAGATTCGCTTTCTCGCCAACAAATCCAACTTACGACGTTACAAAAGAATGCACTTGCATGTCTCTCGCCGTTGAACCTATTTCTTCATTTTTTTTTTCTTTATCTTCGCTTCGCTTTTTCGCCAACAATCTGAAGTTACGGTGTTAAAAAATGAATCGTACTATCTCTCTCGTTAAACCTGTTTCTTCACTTTTTCACTAATGAGACGTCATTGTCAAATGATTTTTTCTTTATCTTCATTTTTTCGCCAACAATTTTTTTTGTTATCTTTTTTTTTTTTTGCCAACAAATCCGATGCTACGACGTTCAGAAAAATGAATGTGCACCATCTTTCATCGTCAAACCTATTTCTTCGCTTTTTTCGCCAACAAGACATTATTGCCGAACCTATTTCTTTGCCTTTTCGCCAACAAGACATTGTGACGTTGAAAAAAAAAGGAATGCATACCATCTCTCATCGTCGAATATATTCATTCGCTTTTTCGCCAACAAATTTGACATCATGATATTGTAGAAAAATGAAAGTAGCATCTCTTGCCATCGAACCTATTTCGTTGCTTTTTCGCCAACAAACACCATTCGACCGGGCATTAAATAATCAAGAATTCCCCTATATATTTTTTTACTAAAAGTATCCAACATTCTGTGGCATACTTGATCATTATCCACTCCCATCGTCATCGATTCATTATTTTTCGGGACTATACAATTCAGCATTCCCACAACCGTAACCTGGGAGCGTACTCAGGACATCACAAAAGAAATATTGAACACACCCCACATCGATTCATTATTGTAAAATTTTTTGAACGCGCACCATCTCCCGTCCTCATCGATCACTCGAACGGATTCTGCCGCCGAAAGGGGACATTCGCGGTCCCGCGGAGAGGATATACCGGTATGTCCAGCACCAGGCCGGCACAACATACTACGTATAATATATATATATCCCCTGACCCCTGGTCTGAGCTTTCAGGGAATTTAATTAAGGTTGGAATTATCATATTGCTTCTGAAGCTTATGCGGATAAGCAGAAACGGCATGTTTTCAGATGGTTGCCCATGGAACGGAGCTACGGAAGGATTAAACGCCACTGAAAATGGATTCCAGACGTGTGCGTACACCACGAACTAACGGACTCAACTTTTATTCAATCGGCACACACCATGGCATCATCACAGACACGCACACCATCCATATTCTCACGCGCGCGCACCGTCGCCGGCGGCCGGCGGCGTAAGATCGACGAGAAAGACCCATCACTTGTCGGTGGAGTTGGACTCGGAGAAGAAGCGGTTGAGAGCGGGGAAGACCTCCGGGCGCTGCGTGCTGAGGAAGCGGCGGAAGGCGTGCTGGCTGTAGCGCTGGCCCTCGTCGGCGTTGTCCAGCACGGCGCTCTGGCGGTGGCGCTTGCTCACCCGCACGTCCGGGTTCATCAGCACGTTCCGTGTCAGCTGGAACACGCACATCCCCGTCACGAACGACATGGCCGCGATCAGCGGGTACACCTGAAGCATAAACACAGACAGCATGCAAATGTGAGCGCGGCCGGTTCACTGCACGCGACGACGTCGACACCGACAAGAACGATGCATGAGAGTGAGACGGACGCGTACGTACATCTGGCTTCAACCAACGGCCCATGTCGATCGATCGAGTTTGCTGGTGTAGTGCCTGATGATCGCTGCTGCAGACTCTGGGACGTGGGATCACGGCTGCTGGTCAGCTGGTGCTGGAACTCTGGAGGTCTCTGGCTGTGGCTGGCTAGCTGTTGCTTTTTTGATCTTGTGCTCGGCTACCCGATGATGGATGGCGTGCAAATGTGGTTCGCGTGCGTATATATACTACCACGGGCCACGGCACAGCGTCCGGCAAGCCGGCCGGTCCGCGCGCGAAGCCATGTACAAGGACAGCAAATTGCTTCGAAATGCATTGATGTCAGACGAGATTCACGGTACGGTTTCCTGTGGGCGACGAGGTGGGTTTCAGCCTTTGATGATGAGCGTGGTGTGTAGGCCGGCCGCTCCCGCTCGGCTGCTGCATGCTGGAGCCGGAAAAACCATGAGCTGCCCGTTGTTTCCCTTCCCCGGTCTTGGTTGTCAAGGTCTCCTTCTCGTCGCGTGCGTGCTCCCGGGCGGGGCGAGTCGGGTCAACCCCGGCCATTTCAGTTTCCCGCCCCACACGGCCACACGACCGTTCCATAGCCGGCGGTCAACTCCACCAGATCGTTCCAGGTCAGCCCGTTACTGTCACAGGGGTTTGCGTCACTCAAGCATAGCGACAAGTACTCTCTCGTCAGAACAGACTGCTCTTTTCAGCTTCGCAAACCGGCCGGTCCGGTCCGTGTTCCAGAAACAGCCGAGGCTTTACCTTTGGTTTTCAGAGAATCTGTGGGAGTAAGTCTGGTTTTGCAGCACATAACTGCTGTGCTGGATTGCGAGTAACTCTTCGTTACGGTGTCCATGTCCACGTCCAACTTCCGATGACGGCTCACGGCTGGCATGATGCGCTACGGCGCTGGCCATGCTTGAACGACATGCATATTCGCTGGATATATATGATGACTCGTGTTACATGAGATGAGGACGAAGGAGTGACAGCCTGACACGATAAAAATGGATGGGCGTTACAAGAATAGTACTCTACTACGTACATACCAATCAGGTTGACGCTTCTGATATCACAAGGAGTTATGTCCAACTGCAATTCCACGGGCACGAATTCATGTTTTGTTTTCCCGCAGAGGTACGTAACTACGTAAAGAGCGAGTGTCGTGTTAAAATCTGGGCACACCAGTTTGACGATTTCTTGACAAGGTTGTTTCTGTTTTCTCATTGTGCAGGTTGTTGTTGTGCGCAGTTAGGCTTATCTTAGGTTTCTGAATGCCCCCACGAAAAGTAGTACTCCCTTCCATTCCAAATTACTTTCTAAGCATCTCAAGTTTAAAAAAATATATAAAGAGAATTACAAAGATTTATGACATCAAATATATATACTATAAAAATATAACTAATGAAAAATCTAGTGATTACTTATTAGGTATCATAAATGTTATTATTTTATTATATAAATTTGGTTAAACTTGAAATATTTTGACTCCCAAATAAAGTTAGAATAACTTATAATTTGGAATAGAGGGAGTACTATAATTCAATACACCGTGGTGGACATTTAGGGGTGTTTGAATACGGGGACTAAAGTTTAGTCCTTGTCACATCGGATATCGTGTACTAATTAGTAGAACTAGACATAAGCTAATTATAAAACTAATTACTGAAGCCATGGCTAATTCACGAGAAAATCTATTAAGCCTAATTAATCCATCATTAACACATGTTTCACTGTAGCACCACATTGTCAAATCATGCGCTAATTAGGTTTAATAGATTCGTCTCGCAAATTAGTCGTAATCTGTGCAATTAGTTTTGTAGCTAGTGTATATTTAATACTCCAAGTTAGCATACAAACATCCGATATGATAGGGACTAAATTTTAGCAGTGGGAACCAAACAGGGATTAAAACTGTCTGGATAGCTTTATGTTTTTCCTTTTTGAAGAAAATCGCCATATTGACATCTCAAATTCGTGGAGTCATTTTATAGATGCCAACGTTTGGAGTATTAAACAATGTTAAATCAGACAATCAGAGATGTCAATACTCTCTCTCTCTCTTAAACGAGCACCGTGATGGACTGTTGTGAAAACAAGGGTTCCGATTCTTAGCTGGAGCTTTACTGGCTCTCTGATTGAGTAATTTTGGTAGAGTAGATTGAGGATCAGGTAAAAAGTAATTTTTTTGTGGAATCGAATAGGGAGGAATGAAGAACAGAGTTTTTAGCTCCCCAATTAGAAGTGATTATGGTATGATTTTCTACTAGAACTAGAATATATATTGGGCTAAAACTCCAGATCCATGCCCTGACTAGCCTTTGTCCAGCCCAAAACATGAGCCTTCAACAGGCCAAAATTCATTGGGCTAATTGTGGATGATCCCCTTCCTCGGCCCAACGGCACGCTAAGGTCGCCGCCGCCTCGCCGGCGCCGCCCAAAAATCTCCCACCGCCTGTTGCCCTGTCCGGCTGTCCCCACGACGTGGTGTCGGTAACCACACGAGGTAACAGTCAATGACACTAGACCCCACGCTACGTGGGACCCATCCGCAGTGAGAGAGTTCTGTCACACTGTAACACAAAGTATAGGACAAGGAGTGCTTAGCACCCGGTGCTAAAAGGCCATTTCTCCAGGCTTTGGCTGCGCATCGCTTCTTCCCCATTTCGCCCAACTTCCATCCCACGCCAGGGCCCGAGCTCCGAGCTAGGGTTTCCTCTCGCCGCCGCCGCCGACGGGAGAGGAGGAGGAATAGGCGAAGCCGAGTTAGTAGCGCCAGGAGAGAGAACATGGGGACGCCGGAGACGTCGCGGGAGCCGTGCCCGGACCGGATCCTGGACGACGTCGGCGGCGCGTTCGGGATGGGCGCCGTCGGCGGCTCCGCCTTCCACTTCATCAAGGGCATCTACAACTCCCCCAACGGGATGCGCCTGTCCGGGGGCGCGCAGGCCGTGCGCATGAACGCGCCGCGCGTGGGGGGAAGCTTCGCCGTCTGGGGCGGCCTCTTCTCCACCTTCGACTGCGCCATGGTGTACGCGCGCCAGAAGGAGGACCCCTGGAACTCCATCGTCGCTGGCGCCGCCACGGGCGGGTTCCTCTCCATGCGCCAGGGCATGGGCGCCGCGGGCCGCTCCGCGCTCATGGGCGGGATCCTCCTGGCCCTCATCGAGGGCGCCGGCCTCATGCTCAACCGCGTCCTCGCCAACCCGCCGCTGCCCGCCGACGACCCCAACCTTACGGCGGCCATGGGCGGCAACCCTTTCCCGGGCCTGCCGCAGGCGCCGCTGGTCGTGGCACCTCCGGAAGCGGCGAGCTCCAGCGTCCCGGGTGGGTGGTTCGGGGGACTGTTTGGCAGGAAGGAGGAGGAGAAGAAACCCAGCGCGGGCGGGGGCAAGTCGGAGATCTTGGAGAGCTTCGACACGCCCAGCACTCCGATACCATCGTTCGAGTACAAGTGAGGAAAAGGTGCGATTTTTACTCGATGTACGAGTAGTTAATTATTACTATTCTGTTCGGATTTAGAAAAGGTGCGATATATATTCGATTATTGGGTTCCTGTTTGCTGTTTCCCCCATTTTTGTTTGGCCCGTTGGGGATTAGGACTCTTGTTCTTGCTGTGGAAGTTAGAAATTGCTTGGGTTCGGCAACTGTTTAGTTTCTTGTGCTAGGAGTCGCGATCGTTTTGTTACAAAAAATCCGCACCGGATCCAACTAGAAATTGTTATCGCTTCCTATTAGAAGAACGTGATTGGTCTGGTTGTCCTATATATATTCTGTTCCGGTGAGTTTGGATCTGTAGTAGAATAGAAGGGACACCAGAGATATCCTTTTTGTCGACCCTTTGCCTGAGTTCTAGTTTTGCTCCTCCATCGACAAGGAGCAGACCTTCAGGACGTCAAGCAGCAACTACCATGGGGTCTCTCACGGATAGGGACTGTCCTTGTCCAGGCCGCATCCTCACCGATACAGGTTCCGCGTTTGCAGTTGGTGCTGTTGGGGGTTCTTTCTACCACTTTGTCAAGGGTCTCCGCAATGCACCTACTGGTGCACGATTTGCTGGTGGCCTGGAGGCTGTGCGCATGAATGCGCCATGTATTGGTAGCAGCTTTGCTGTTGGGGAGGTCTGTACTCAGTATGTGATTGTACCCTCGTGAATGTGCGTCAGAAGGAGGATCCTTGAACTCAATTCTTTCTGGCGCAGCCACTGGTGGCATCCTTTCTTTGCGTCAGGGATTTCGCTCAGTCGATTCATCCATGCATGGTGCAATTTTCTTTGCTCTCGTAAATGGAGCTATTATCATGGCGCAACGCTCTCAACCTGATCCTCTATCTATGCCAGTTGATGTTCCAGCTGTCACCCCTGTGGAGATGTATTCATCTATGCCAGTTGATGATGAAGCAATCACACCTGTGGAGACATTTGAAAAGGAAAGTGGAAGAGGGAGTCACAAATAGAAATAACGGCAGTGAGACTGGTACTTCAGAGACTTATTAGAATTAGCCCAGCATGGCAGTGCCATCGTTTGAGTATAAGTAGATCCATTGATGGACATGGGATTTTTCTCAGCTGCCAGGATTTAATTGGCTCATTGCCCTTTTGTCGCTGTTCCTTTTTTTAAAGTGTGTACCTGGATTTGTATTGGATTATCGTTTTTTAATTTATTAACCTACTAGTATTGAAATCAAGGACAGTGTCAGGGAAGGTATCGAAATCAAGGACAGTGTCAGGGAAGGTAGAATGATAATAGTTTCTTGTTATATGAATTCAATTCGATTCAGGTTATTTCATGATGTGAAGGACCAAGATCCAGATTTCACTTCTTTGTAGTTTCTTTTCACTTTCTGCGTGCTCTGTTGGATGCTGTTTTGGTGCTGCTAGCTTGTTGACCTTTTACTTTCTTGCATCCATGTTGATGTTTTAGGAATTCTTTTATGTGATGACTCACGTGGTGAATGAATTGGTACATACCAGCTGTGAGGAGCTGGTTAGCTCCGTGAGAATCCTAGTGTAAAAAAAAACTCGACCCGCGGGGGGTAAGACAGCCCCCGGGCATTGTGCTTAAGAAGAAGACCTTCTCACGCAGGTCGAGAAAACCCCCCGAACCCCTTCCCCACCCATACACAGCGGCACCGCAGCTCCCGTGAGACTGTGCTGGCCTGAGACCTGTGCTTTGGCGTGGGGTAGCAGCTAGCCAACTGGACTAGCGCCCACTTGCTGGGAATCCTTAACGTCTGCAACTTTTGCTAGACTGTTATTGATCACAAACAAGTCTATTAGTTATGTATAAGCTACAAAGATAGGTGAGGCATGATTTTCTGATCAATTAGTTTGCCCTATAATCATTTGTGTGATCCTATACTTCTCCCTTCTGAGTCAGAATGCAAATGCAAAATGAGAAGTTTCTTCTGATTTCATAAGTGTAGCTGTGCAAGAATAGCTGGCCTGGTTACCAAAAGAAATAGAATGAAAAAGTTAAGGTTACCTTGCTTGTAACTAAACGATAATTTATATAGAGGTCCATTTGTATTAAGATCAACTGAATAAGCGATGTAAGTTTGGTTTGAAATATTAACATTTTATATATAGGTCCATTTATTACAATTGTTGAGCCAGCATTTCGAAATATTAACACTTTATAACTAATTGTAAGTTTGGTTTGGTTTTTACTTTTTAGTAGTTTGATATAAAGTTACTTGTTAGGATTTAGGAACATGTCTAAGTTCTTGTTCTTGAACTGTACTTCTTGGTATGGCAATGCCGCCTTTGAAACTCCATGAAAAATGCTTTTAATCACATGCTGCTGAAGGAGGTTACTGGAACAGATTGAATTCTGTATGTGGAGGTAGAGTGGGATTTTCTTTCAGTAGATCTGCCACTGCAACAGCCAACTCAATTGCTTGTCAGAGATCTGAAAGTGCTCAGCTGGAAGTTCAGAATTTCCAGGCCTTGCGTTACCAATTATTTGCCTGGATTCAGGCTGATGTTCTGAAACTAGCGGTATTTCTGTTAGATACAAGATTGATCATGTGGTTTGTTTCTGCTTGTTTTATTTGAATCAAACTCTTGTGTTGCGGTTTTCATGGTTAATTATCCGTTCTACGTCACTGATGACATGCTAGGTACTAATAGATGTTCCTGTATACTATTATCTTTTTTTTGCACACTTGGATTGTTAACCAACAGTGATCCAGAGCTCTTCATGTACTAAGGTGTTTTAAATTTGCAGGTTGGCTGATGCCACTGTTGCTTACTTGGTCTCGCAATGTGGTGGTGGTCTGGAATTGGTGATGCATGTCAGCAATACAATAACTGACAGGACAAGAGATGGATTGTTCGATAACTTATTCCTGCGCCGCTCTGCCTCGACTGGCTCATATCTATGCGCCTGCTTGTGTATGTATAAGCCTTTTTCAAAACGTGGCAGATTGGCTACTTCTTGAGATGTAGTTTTTGTAGAAGCAAACAGCAGTAGTATACTGCCTATATTATAGCATTCGTGTTGTGTGCGATGTAATGCACATGAGAACCCTTGTGCGGTTGTGCCTCGGCCTGGCCTCTGAAGGGACGACTACTTTTTCGAGTTCTTATTAGTTTGATTGAGTTGTTCAACTGCGCCAAGTCTTGCCGGTCTTTGTTTTGTTGTCAGTGCTATTTTCGAGTCGTAAGCGTCCTCACGATTTGCTGTGCTGTTATGCGTGGTCTTGTGAGCTGCTACTGTCAGTCAGGGCAGGAATGTTTGGTGCTGCAATTAGGTTTGTATGTAAACTGCCCATCTTTGTGTGTAAGCTAAACGATTGACCACCCCAAAAGTGGGCAGTTAAGCTGAGAGCAACCTGCGCTTCAGCCTTCAGGATCGTTCCAAGGTAAACACAAAGGTACTGGGCAACGAAACTCAAATGGTGCTGGTAATAGATCGTTGTACCTGCTGAGCGGAAACATCAGCTTGACATGGTTTCTTCTGCCGACGCATATATCTCAATCTCGTCAGCCAAACATGCCATCAAGATATATGCACATGATCACCAGTTCACTCCAATTTCCATTTGGGCAAAAACCGGAAATATGCACTCGATCACTAGATCACAACAACTTCACTTTGACTCGCACGCGTGCCGGCGATCACGAGAAGTCGAACGGCGACAGCGGACGCGCACCGGACACCGGCAAGCAAAGAAGGCCCAGGTGTTTGGGCGTCGCGATCCGCGACCTGAACGCGGCCGTTGCGATGGCCATCGCTCCCTGCCTTTTCCTTTTCCCTCCTGCTCCCACTACAACTGAACTCCCTACTCAGGGACACGGGGCACGGGCGCGGGATGTATTGTGTTTTGTGTATGTTCACCAACCACGTTGCTTCGGCAGGGATAAACTACGGCGCAAGCAACCCCAGGCCGCTGCGCGCACGACGGGCACGAGCGAGCCACCGGTACACACTAGAGAGGCGCGGAGGCAGCCCACCAGTAGTCTAGCCGCGCGCGTACGCGTCGTGCGTCACCGCGCCCGGGGTTCGGTCGATGAGTTACCGGGAAGGAACCCAACCAACGGTGGCAGGAGGCAGAGAGGTTGGTGGCGCCTTGCCATCGCGGCCGGCGCCGCCGTTGGCTGTCAAGCAAGCGTGCTGCTCTGCGGAACCGGAACCCGTGCGCTTTCTTTGCGTTAAAGGCCCGTGCGTGTCCGCGCTGCTACTCAGCCCAATGCACAACGCCCCGATACTGCTAGCTAGTGCTAGTGCAGGCGCTGTGGTGTTATCGTTGCGCGCCCGTCCGTTGCGTTCGTTTCGCACTCGCCGCCAGCCATGGCGCCCCGCTGCTCCGTACTGGTCCTGGCCCTCGCCGCCGCGCTCTCCGTCGCAGGTCAGTTCCTGGTAATTTTCATCCTCCCCCAATGATTCAATTCGTGTTGTTTGCTGAAACTAGCGAGCTCAAGCGTCTTTTCAGTGGCTTACGACCCGTTGGACCCGAACGGGAACATTACCATCAAATGGGACATCATGTCATGGACGCCTGACGGCTATGTCGTGAGTACTCACATCGATCACTTGCCCTCTGCTTCGTTCTCTTCGTGCCCATGCTTCCTCCTGTATCATCATGCTAAAATCATCAGGCATGATCGATGACGCATTGATCGATCGGTTACTGACTAACGAATGACGGGCAACGTTCCATGCAAATGCAATGCAGGCGGTGGTGACCATCAACAACTTCCAGATGTACCGGCAGATCATGGCGCCGGGGTGGACGGTGGGGTGGACGTGGGCGAAGCGGGAGGTGATCTGGTCCATGGTGGGCGCGCAGGCCACGGAGCAGGGCGACTGCTCCCGCTTCAAGGCCAACATCCCGCACTGCTGCAAGCGCACCCCGACCATCGTCGACCTGCTCCCCGGCGTGCCCTACAACCAGCAGATCGCCAACTGCTGCCGCGGCGGCGTCATCAGCGCCTACGGCCAGGACCCGGCCGCCGCCGTCTCCGCGTTCCAGGTCAGCGTCGGCCAGGCCGGCACCACCAACCGCACCGTCAAGGTGCCCAAGAACTTCACGCTGCATGGGCCAGGGCCAGGGTACACCTGCGGCCCCGCCAAGATCGTCCCTTCCACCGTCTTCCTCACGCCCGACCGCCGGCGCAAGACACAAGCCCTCAGTGCGTTCGCGTTCCCCTTCTCCTTCTCGTTCTCCTATGTATGGCGTGGCTGGGTTTGGGCTGACGACATATATGGCGATCGATGCTTGCATGCAGTGACATGGAACGTGACGTGCACCTACTCGCAGCACCTGGCGTCCAAGTACCCGTCCTGCTGCGTCTCCTTCTCCTCCTTCTACAACGACACCATCGTGCCCTGCGCCAAATGCGCCTGTGGCTGCGAGCACAAGACCTGCGTCCAGTACGTCTCGATCGCCCATCGATCTCCAGCCCTGCGCGGCCGCAAGCAGCCGGTGCCGGCCGCCTCGCCATCATCGGTTCTAGCTCTAACGACGTGCGTTGCGTGCGTGTGCATGGGCAGGGGCGACTCGAAGCGGCTGGCGGTGACGGGGAAGCACGAGCACGCGCACGCGGCGGCGGCCCGCGGGCACAGGGACAAGGAGGCGCCGCTGCTGCAGTGCACGACGCACATGTGCCCCGTTCGCGTGCACTGGCACGTCAAGCTCAACTACAAGGAGTACTGGCGCGCCAAGATCGCCATCACCAACTTCAACTACCACATGAACTACACGCAGTGGACGCTCGTCGCGCAGCACCCCAACCTCGACAACATCACCGAGGTCTTCAGCTTCGACTACAAGCCTGTCGTCGCCTACGGATCCATCAGTAATTCTCTTCTCTCTCCGTGCTCGATCATCGTCTCCTCAGCTCACCATACATGTGCCGATCGATACCTACGCAATGCGCTCAATCTAGACAAGACATCGATGCGATTGTTCTCGCTCGTGTACGTGCAGATGACACGGCGATGTTCTACGGGCTCAAGTACTTCAACGACCACCTGATGCAGGCGGGGCCGTACGGGAACGTGCAGTCGGAGGTGCTGATGCGCAAGGACGCTAGCACCTTCACCTTCAGGCAGGGCTGGGCGTTCCCGCGCAAGGTTTACTTCAACGGCGACGAGTGCCAGATGCCGCCGCCGGACGCCTACCCCTACTTGCCCAACTCAGCCCTGCCGGCAGCCGCGGCGTCGTCGCTGGGCGCTGCGGTAGCGGCCGTCGTGGTGCTCTTGGTGATGATCGTGGCATGAGAGAAACACGGGAGATCGATCAGCCCAGTGCTAGAACCGGCAGAGAGAGTCAGAGAGATGGAGAAAGACGTTGCTTTGATTTGTAGATAGACCTCGGTTTGGGTTTCAGGAATGGTTTGGATGCTTTTCTTCCAGTGGATGGACAACGCCATGAGCATAATTTTGGAAGGGAAATTAATATGTGCATCTCTCGTCAGATAACTCAGGTCATACACCATGTGCAGCCAACCCTTCACGATGCCTCTCTATATGCTTGTTACAACTAGGGATGCAAGTTAGGTTGTCAGCGAACCATAAATCGACTTAATTTTTATGGATGATCCACCGACCACTGGGGTTCTATATTGAATCATACGGAGATACTATTACACCATGTTTCACAACAGCTACAACAAAATATGCCAAAGTATTTTTCATTGCATGATCTGCGCCTGCCACTAAGACACCACTACTGTAAAGCCCAGTAATTTAGCCAATTTAAAACTTAATTGCGTATAGTACCATCGGATGATCCAGCGTTTCGCCACCAGACCATATGGTGGTGGTGGACACTAGTCTGTATCTCTTCTCTATCTCTATCTCTACAACTATAACATATGGATTGTCAACGTCTACCCGGCAGGACCAAACACCCTCAACACAGGTCCACCCGGCAGCACAAAAAACTTCCCATATAATCACTTTCCTACCGGCGCAATTAAAGGAAAGAAACCCAGAATGGAAGGCAATGCCGTGCTTGAGGAGGGAAAAAGAAAATTAATATGGAAGGCAATGCCGTGATTGACTGATTGAGAACGGAAAAAAAAATTAAATCATAATTAGAAAGGCAATACCGTGATTTTCTGGTTACACGCACGGGCACAGTCATAGTTTTTACATATAATTTCTACTTGGCCGGAGGGAGGCAGAATCCCCCACCTGGACATATTTCTATGTGGACACTAGTAACTAGACTCAAAACTCAATAGGACACGTTGCCACACGGTGATCCACCAGAACGAAAAAACCAGTATCAACGATGGTGGAGCTTATTTCACAAGCTGGGATTGGTTATTGGCACGGACCTCACGTGCATGCAGCTTTACCGGGGACCACAAGAGGCAGCAGGCAGCCGCACGCCAACGCATGCATGTGGTTCTTTGACTGACAAAAAGTGTGCATGTATGTGGGCCTAGGTCAAAAGGCAGCCAATTAGAGGTCTCCAATAAGCTGAGCGGCCGCTGATACCTGTGGAGTTGCATTTCAGGATGATCCACAGGATCCACATATGGTGGTGGACACTAGTTTTTACATATAATTTCTACTTGGGGTGTGTGTGTGTGGGGGGGGGATCCCCCCACCTAGACATATTTCTATGGTGGACACTACTAACCTAGACTCAAAACTCAATAGGGCACATTACCACACGATGATCCACCGGAAAAAACCAAGTAAGCCAAAAAGTAGCCAATCAAAGGTCTCCAATAAACTTGAGAATGAGTTCGCGGTGATCCACCAGGATCCACAAAGGCACCGTCAAATCATAGTGACACTCGATAACCTAGCTAAGTTAAATTTGCCCTTGAATAATGCTACCAAGTGATCTATCGTGGGCGACCCAATCATTGATTATTCTGATGCACATTTCGATGTGTTTTCTTAATACATTTTAAGTCTGATCTCATCTTTTTTTTTTTTTTGAGATCCTAGACTTACACTCTAACCACTTGTGAGCTGACTTGGTAGGAGTATGTCATATGTTTACATTCAAATACTGTAAACTCGAATTTTCATCAAGCTACTAGTTTCAACACCCCTCTTAAAAGTACGACCAATGATAAAAGATAACCTAACACCATGTTCAATTACCTCCCAATACCAAATTATGCACTTGAACACTAAAATATCATTAATCTTCACAAATATCCTTGTGTACATGTAAGGATCACGATATTGTATAGAGGGTTGGGGTGTGAATACTGAATAGGCATTCCTAAAATTTATAGAATTTGCAAAAATATTAAAAATACAGTACTGGGGCCTAGTCTGGACTAGAGATCTTGTTTCACCTGGGATTAGTTTGACTAGACTCTGGAGGTTAAAAAACCTACAAGATCTAAAAATTTGACCAACGAAATATAGTTCTACTTAGTACCAAGGCTTCTAGTAGATGTGTGGATATATCCTCCCTACTTTTCTTCACTCAAGTATGCACAAACAGATAGATCGGGTGAAGTTTTTACAAGCTAACACGAACTAGCTCAAGAACACACGAGATACGAGATTTAACTCAAGGTTCAGCCAATCCACAAAAGAGTTCATACATCATTGTTGTTGACGATGTTCACAAAAAAATCATTGTTGTTGAGGAAGCCACCAAGACTTCGGTCTTTTTCAACCCTATCATCTTTTCAAGCGAATCACAAAGTTTTAGCTTGAGGTTCTCACAAGTTTTGTCGGGATAATTATTGTTGAGAATTGACCTATGCACGAATTATCAGATTTGTATTTCTATTCCCGGTTCCGAAAAAGAGGCGTGTAGGAGTTGTAAATAGATCTCGTTTACCTTGAATCACATATGAACACAAATGAGACAAGTATGTGAAGGAGGTTATCTCGTCATTCGTTATTGTAGATATACATATAGTCCCTTTTATATAGATGTAGCATATTGAGAAATTCTTAACAATTATAAGGCCAAAATTAGAGAACACTACTAGTTTATATCAAACATAGGGGGGGGGCAGGCGCCCTTACCCCCTCTTGTTGGCCGTGGGAAAATACGATGTTTTGTTGTGTAGAGCATCTCCAAGAGTTTTCAAAACCCATTTCCAATCTTGACTTCTTTGGTAAGATTGAAAAACCCCACTCCCCAACAACTCCTTATCTCAACTCCCAATCTTTTCGCACTTGGAAAAATCAATCTAATAGTGTGCAAATATACGTGTGCATATCAATCAATCAATCTAGAGGTGGAAGGACACGAGGAAGATTAAGGAGTAAGGACATGGTTCCCAATACAAATGTACGAGAGAAAGAAAGTAAAAATGGTTGAAGTGATTTGGAAATATTTCGGATTTTTGATGCAAAATTGTCTTCTATCATTTAGGGGTGAGATTTTAAAAACGGTTGGAAGAACGGAACAAATATGCTCCCAATTTTTTTAGCCACTTGGAAAACCCATTGCTTTACTGATTGTTTTTTGGAACTATTGGAGATGCTCTAAATGGAGACAACATTTTAGGTTTTAGGATTGGTTTGGGTGTTTTTAACTTACTAAAACACACTAAGTTTTTGTTTTTTCTTCCATTACTAAATCGACGGCAATGAGCATAATTTTGAAAGATAAATCTATATACAGCTTACACAAGATAATTCAAGTCATAAAAGAGTTTATTTCTCACTAAGGGCTTGTTCGGTTGTGGACGTACCCAGAACTGGATTCAATCCCCGTTCCTTCCTAAAACGTGTGCACTCTTAGCCCACTCGAGGATCCTACGGAGGCCACATGCAGCAGAAACCCCTTCACCTCGCCTGGAATCAAGCCAGGCCTCTAGAGTCGTGGAATGAATCCTTGCGGGGGGCTACATGCAGCAGAACGTGCGGAGGCTACCTGCGGAGGAACGAATCCCCACAAAGGCGCCCTGCACCTCAGCGATCTCCCCACCTGCAGCTGTGTGGATTGGTTCCACGGGGAATTAATCCCTTACAACCGAACATGCCCTAAAGAGGGTCTAAACTCAGATAATTCAAGTCATGCAAGATTTTATTTGTCACTAAAGAGAACCTAAACTGAAGTCTGATATATGTAGTAGAATGTATCTTTAGTTCATATCCCATTTTTTATTATTAGTATTATCAGTTGTAATTGTAAAATAAATAAATATTATTATTAAACATAAAAGGGTCCTTATCGAAGGTATATATGCATACTCAAACTGTTCATATGCATCCACAGGCTTTTTATTTGTGCCACTGGCGGTCGTATTTGAGCATGAAACTCTGCATGATGTGGAAGGAAACATATTATTTCTATTGTCACTTGCCAGTCAGTCTTTGCCGAAATTTACAGGTATTGGGAATGTACATGCTTGGTATGTGACTGCACATCTGAATCTGTTCCTCGATCAAGATTCAAGACACCATATAAAACTTTGGAACAATCTAATGATCAGCAGCAGGCAACGACACCGAATCAGGTCAACTTCTTACGAGACATCCACACACCTATGCCTCGCTACGCATGGGTCATCAGGAGGATTGCAAATGCTAGCAAAGCTGCAACGACCGGGAGGAGAAGCGAAGCCGACAGCCGCGGAGAGGCGTTGGGCAGCCACGGGTAGGCGTCCGGCGGCGGCATCACGCAGTTGTCTCCGTTGAAGTAGACTCGTCTCGGGAAAGCCCAGCCTTTCTGGAAGGTGAACGTGGATGGCTCCTTCCGGAACAGAAGCTCAGACTGAACATTCCCGTCTGGCCCGGCCGTCATCAGCAAATCGTTGTAGTACTTGATGCCCCATAACATCGCCGTGTCGTCTGCGAAAGTGTAGTAAACGTCAATGTCTGACAAAAAACAGGAGGGGATTGACAATGCAAGACTGAATTTCTTCAGGGGTGAATGAAGTGCAGGTGCTCACTTATCACTCCATAGGGGTTCAGAGGTTTGTAGTTGAAGCTGAAAATGGTGGTCAGATTGTCGAAATTGGGGTGCTGCGCAACGAGGTTCCATTGCGAGTAGTTCATCCGGTAATTGAAGTTTGTCACCGTGATCTTTACCCTCCAGTACTCCTTGTAGTTAACCTTGACATGCCAATGCACTCTTATTGGGCACATGTGTGAAGTGCATTGGACTAGAGGCGCCAAGCTGTTCTGATTAGGATCGTTCACGACAGAAGCCAGGTAAGGTGAATTGCCCCTGTCCAAGGACAACACATCCAACCTTCACATAACTGAACAAAATGAAAATGGTATGTTAATGCTGAGTTTTCTTGATGTGACTTACTCTACACAGCTTCCTGGTGCAG